TATCATTGAACACAGCAGGATTAATCTGTGAATTCATAGTTGAAGGAATGGATAGCAAACTGCTTAAAAGAATATCACCATCAAGGAACAAGTAATAGATTCTGAAAGTTACCAGTCCTCATAATTATCTATGTACATTGACTATTATCAATTATGGAAAATTTTCCCTGGCCAACACCATTGTTGTTAAGACCATAAGAGTTATGATAAATAGAAGTAAAAAAAAAATGTGTGACTATGTCAAGTTTCTATTCCAGGTAACTGTTTTAAAAATTTCAAAAATATACAGACTTTACCCATACACACCCATTCCTAACCATGACATCAACACTGCAAAATATGTGTTGTGATGTCATTGTGCAAGCTCTATCCTTTCATCTCTTAATCTCCTGAGCAAATCTGAAAAGGGTGCAGTTTGTGTTACAATATGATGTACATTTTATCTCTGATCTCCTTTCCTCATCCTCTAAATGCCCATAATGTTTAACCTTGTCCTAACATTATGGACAAGACTTCCAGCCTTCTATTATATTCACTTTCTCATTTCTGTCTTTTCTTCACTTTCCCGCCCTTCTCATTTTTTTCCCCTTAAACTATATTACTTAAATCCTTGCAAAAGTATTCTGAACAAAACTTGGCATTTTAAACACATAACTGTAAATCCTTTGAGGCTGAAATTAGATTAGAGACTGGCCATTGATTTCCTTGGATCACAAGTTAAACTAAAATTGTTATTTTCTTCCTTTTGCCATATTTTTAAACTGAACATTCTGAAGAAATTATTTAAAGGTAGAACATTAAAAAAAAAACATAATGAACATTCCTGGACCGGGAGACACTGCTTGTGGTCACTCATGCTTTGGTCACCCCTGACTGGCCTACTGCAAGGTGGCCTACAAAATGCAATGGTGTGGGCAGTTATGGGCACCTGCACACATGACATCTCTGCTCAGTGAGCTGCATTGGTTGCCTGTAAGCTTTCAGGTTCAATTCAATGTGCTGATAGTTATCTTTAAAGCCTTCATGGCTTGGGACCAGGTTACTTGCGGGACCATCTCACCAGCTGTACCTACCCACCCTCTTAGATCTGACAGGAGAAGCATACTCTGAGTTCCATCTGTTAGGGAGGGTCATCTGGTGGGATCCAGAAAGAAAACCTTTTTTGCCTTGGTGCCCACTCTCTGATCAAGCCTGGGGGCCTGGATGTGTAGTTGAGCTTATACCATGGCTCTGTTAATTGTTGTGGTCGGTTAGTTTTTCTTGATTGCTATATATGTTATTTTGAATTTTGTTACACAGTTTTTATCTTGTTTTAAAGTATTATTAGCCGCCCAGAGTCATATATTTGAGATGGGTGGAACAATTGACTGCAGAGAGATTTAGTTTTCAATGGTTTTCATATGCACAATTAGCAGAGAGATTTAATATAGGGAAAAAGGTAACTGGAATAGGACAAAATAAGATGGAATTTGAAATTTAATTATGTACAAATTATGAATGTGATTGCTAAAATGTAAAAACTTTTGTTGAGATTTGAAATGGAAGAAGAACAAATTAAAGAGTACATGATAAAATGGGCTAAGAATTTTGGTTATAATATACAGATGGATCAATGGGAGAGAATGTAATTAAAAGGACTAAAATTAACACTGTGTTATACTTTAAGAGAGAACTTCTGTAAAATGATGTACCATTGGTATATGTCACCAGAGAAATTATCTAAGATGTATAAAGGTACTTCTAATCAATGCTCGAAATGTGAAAAGCATGAAGGGACTTTTTATCATGCATGGTGGACTTACAAAAAAGCACACACACACAAAAAGGATACAAATACACATTATGATACAAAGAATTTTAAAAATTAATATTCAGATGAACCCAGAATTTTTCTTATTGGAACTTATGGATAGCCAGTTAGAAAATACTTATGGAAGATTGGTTTTGTATACAGTAACTGCAGCAAGGCTACTATATGCACAAAGATGGAAAAATACTGAACTTCAGATGAAGTTGGTGACAATGGTGCAATAGATCATGAAGATGGCAGAATTTGCAGAAATTGCAAAATTGACCTATGTGATCAGGGATAAAACAACAAATAATTTTATCAAAGATTGGAAACCCTTTATCGACTTTTTGCTGAAAATGGGAAAAAATGAATTGGTGATTTTTTGGATTTCCTGATTGAAAAGGGTTGAATAGGGGATTGAAAAGGGAAGAAGGGAATTATGTAATATCTTAAAGAGGGAGGAGAGACAATAAGTTTGTTTGTAAGTGGTGTGAAGAAGATCAGAAGTCGCTTCTTTAAACATCTTTTTCTTTTTCTGTATCTGTAGTGCTTCTTGCACTTTTTCTTTTATCTTCTTTTTAACTTTTCTTCATATATTCTTTCATGTTTACCTTTTATTCTTGTAAGAATCTTTTTAAAAATTATATATATCTAAAAAAGAGAGATGGGTGGCCATACAAATTGAATGAATGAATAAATAAATAAATGCCAGCTACAGAAGGCTATCAAATGACACAAGCTGCATCTGTGAGTTCTGATGGAAGATTTGCCAGCAGAATAGAAAGATAGAAAGAATAAAATGATAATCTCCCCAACTAAAAAAAAGGATAAAAAAGAGATAAAACAAGGTTACACAACACCTTAACAGCTAATCAGAGACCTCACAATGTCAACACAAAGTTAAACCAGTGTGAAGGTAGCCTTAAGTAATTTCCAACACACTGAATCCAATACAGTAGGAGTTTTTTTTAAAATAACAACAGCTGCTACTACTATGTGCTGGAGTGGAACAGGTTTGATTTCAGTACAGATTTTGAGAACCTAATATGAACTCAGCCAGACTTATTTACTAAAACTAGGTGGTCCAAACTATTTTAACTTTTCTGAGTTAAAAGTGTGCAGGTTAATGTCATTTTGTGTTATTTAGTGGAAGGGTTATATATACTGCTTAAAGCTTCTGGAAGAAAGGCAGGAGATAAAGCTAGTGAATGAATGAATAAACAAACAAGCATATTCAGAAGTAAGCACATTGAGCTCAGTTAGATTTACTCTGTTAATGGCAGACAGAATTGTAGCCTAAATTATAAACTTCAAAGATTAGCTAAAGAAAGGCAAACCCAGGAGGGAAGGGGGGAAGGGGGAGAAACCTGTTGGCAAAACATTTTCATTATTTATACTTAGCATGTTACCCTTTCATGGAAGTCTGCCTTAAGGGAAACCAAATCATTACTGCAACAATACATTCCTTTGTTATATAGCCTAAACATATCTCAATTATGTACGTGTAATGATGGTGTCGTGTCTATATCCTACATCTACAAGGACAACTTTGAAATGTAAATGTTTCACATCCTGATCAACAAACTCAAATATAAGAGAGAGAGAGAGAAAGAAAATCTTAGCTTTTTTCTAGGAAATTAGCTAAGCAGGAACTTAAGAACATTCCATACTTAAAAAAAAATCCCTTACATTAATTAAGCTAATATTTATTTTTGAAAAATATAAGTATGTAGAGAAAATACCAGTGAAATACCAGGTATTAAGTTGTTCCACTATACTATTTGGCAAAAGTCAACACTTATTACAATGTGACTAAGCATTTTAAGGTATCATGTCATGCTGATCATGCTATGCAAAACAACAGAACAACATTCTGTTATTAGAGAGACTGTTGTGGGGCAGGGAAAAGAAGGGTAACAGCTGAAGCAGGATATGAAATAATTTGCTAAAAGATGATATCTCATACTGTTGCCCTTTCCCATCAACAAAAAAACCCTTGTCGTTTTAGTATGTTGTGTATTACTTTTTTTTTTTTAGCAAGCAATGATTCACTCATTACTTTTTATTAAACTCCAGTGATATACCACCATGATAAATGGGGCATTGTATTCCCTTTCATGATTTTTTTACCCTCCCCTTCAAAAAAGGCACAGATGAGTGAAGTAGAGATTGGTTTCAAGCTCCTTCCAGGCTGTTCTACCTCTGCTATTCCTCCTTTCTTATTCATTCAGACAACCTCAAGGTAAGGAGGTTTCATTTTTTTATAGTGCCCTTTTGAAGATGACTTCATAACTACGTCTCACATGAAGGACTATGGCATTAATGTTCAACTACACCATATTGTACATCAATAAAACCATCCAACCATATACTAATTTTGACAAAGATATCAGATGTAAATACACCACCCTTCTCATAATTCAGAAAAGAACTGTTGCTGAAAGGACAATGACAAGCTTGGAGAATATTCAGAGAACAACCAAGATGGTAAAGGGTCTGGAAGGAGAAAGGTATGAGGAAGAGTTGTAGGCACTTGTTATGTTTAGCCTGAGGGAAGAGGAAACTGCAGGCAGACATGATAGTTGTCCTCAAATATATGAAGGACCATCCTGTAGAACATGAAACAGGCTTGTTTTAGAGTTGTTTCAAAAGAAAGCAAGGGAAACAATGGGTTTAAACTATAAGGAAGAAGATTTTGGTTCAATGTCAGGAAACATTTCTTAACATTAAGAGCTGTTCAGCAATAGAACAGATGGCCTGATGGTGGCCACGAATCATAGGTGGCCAGTATTTCTCACAACTACTGCAAAACCAGCCATTCAATACCTTAACTTAGAAGGTGCTTGTATCTCCTATATTTTGAAGGCCCTAGCAAAAAGAAATCAAAATATTGCAGCTCCTGAATCTTTTTTTTTTCCTTCCCCCTTATATTTTGACCTCCCACGGAAGCAATTATGAGAAATAAGGCTAAATATCCCAGCAGGAGCACCAGAAATAGAAAACAGCTAACAATAACTGCAATGAGACGCCTACAGTTCTACCGCTCAAACAAAGGGAAAGTAAATGCAGGAGAACAGAAATAATTTTTTGCTCACTTCTGGCCAAGTTTAAGCCAGAAGCGCCCGCCTCCCACTGGCGGTAAAGGAGCATTCCAAGCCCCGCCCTCTCCCGCGCCCTGAGCGTTAAGTCAGAATCCATCCCTCACTCTCAACCCCTTTTTCCCTCCAGTCGCGCGAGAATTTCGTACACGTCAGGGCGTGTGTATTTGACGTCACTGTCCTTTCCCGTCACTTGGAGCCGGCGGAAGGAAGTAGCTGTTGGTGACTGTGCAAAGATGGTAAGTGGTCGTTGCGTGGGGGGGGGGGGGGGGGGGGGGGG